TCTCTTAGCACTTGGTGACCACTGTCTTCCCCGTTTTTATTCTTTGAACAAGGAGCAAAGTTCGGCATCCTTTTTTTTAAAAATTTAATTTTTTTATTTCATAAAACATCACCAACACCACCCATGTGTGACTTCCAGGCCTTAGAGACATAAATAAAATTCCATACAGTATTATATCACAATCAATCTCAGTACAACTCTATTAACCTTCCATCTTAATCTTATAATCAAATTCTCAATTTCCTATTAACTGACTAATCACCCCAAATTTTTTAAACTTTCCCAAATACCCCGCCATCCTTCTAAACCAGTCCTCCTCCTGGTCATTAACCTTTAACCCAATTATTCTACGTATCTTCATTGTAAGATACTCTAAAATTATTATATTATTCATTTTTTCCCTCCAATGATTAATCGTCAATTCCTCAGCTTCTTTCCAATTCCTTGCTATCACTTGTCTTGCTGCTACTAACATCAAATTTATCCATTTACATCCTAAAAAAAAAATTGCCTCCTGTCCTCTCTTTGGGATGTGGAGGAGGCGCCCCCTTCATGCAGCGTTTTGTACCAAAGTCTAAATAAATGCATGATTAAAGAATTTGTCTCTCCCGCCCACCTACTCTTTGAGGTCCTTCAGCTGGAAGGTGGGACTTGCAGCCTGCAAAAGAGACCTAGATCAAAGTATGTCCCGTTCATCGCTCCCTCTAAGCTGTGGAGTCTTGTGAGCAAAAATCCTGCTTTGTGAGCTCCTGCCATGAAAGTTGTGAGCGAGCGATTTGGCGACTGCATATATTAGTTTGCTCCGGAGCCCTCCTTCCTGAGCTGAGACAAAAGTGTGCGAGCCGGAGGCTAAAAAACTGTGAGCTAGCTCACACTAACCCAGCTTAGAGGGAACACTGGTCCTGTCACTTCCCAGTAAATGTGTACAATAGAGTTGTTGACCTATTTCTCACCCGCAAGCAGAAACAAAAAGGGGAAAAAACTGAACCTTACAATAAAATCCAGAACCAAATGAAGGTTAGTGAAGAAGAGGGCCAATATTAAAACCTATCTATTAAAAGTAGAAAAAGATACATGTATTTATTAATAATAACAAATTTTAAAACATATATAGGGGCCCATTTACAACAAATATATATAAAACATTAAAATACCAAGGGCTTAAAAGCTTGACCTTACGCTTTCCGGCCAAATAGGCCTTCCTCAAAGAAGGAAATTTTTGGACGACAAGTTTATTTTATAATCACTGGGCTAGTGATAGCACTTTAATGGTCTTATGTGCATATTGACCCTGTGCCTGGTGATTTTATTTTTGAACAATTTACTTTATGGTCCTTATTGAATCTATACTTTGTATATATTTCTGATTGTGTGTATGAGAATATATGCATTAGCTATTTTGCCACATATATATGACCTCTGAGGAAGGCCTATTTGGCCGAAACACGTAAGGTCAGGCTTTTAAGCCCTTGGTATTGTTATGTGTTATATACATTTGTTGTAAATGGGCCCCTATATATGTTTTAAAATTTGTTATTATTAATAAATACATGTATCTTTTTCTACTTTTAATAGATAGGTTTTAATATTGGCCCTCTTCTTCACTATCTCTCACCCGCAACAGACCCTGGGCGAGCTGGGTTAGAGGAGTCGGCTGAAACTGGTTTATGATAGAAAAGATTCTGTTTATTGATTAGCCAGAACAATCACCATGCCCAAGGGCGGCGAGCAAAGGCCAAGCGGCCCACCCTGGACAGCCACAACAGACATACAGGAACTTCAGAACCAAGAAGGAGATCATATGAATGCGTCCTCTTCAGGCTCACAAAAAACACAGAATGCAGCACAGCAACTCTCTCCAGAAACGCTTAAAACCAGTCCTTGCAGCAGCCTGGAAACTTGTTACACGCACACACACCCCAAACACAGTTGCACAAAGTCGCTGATGGCTGTACAGTTTGTTTTTCCAGGAGTCTGTAATGTAGACCAGGTTAAGAGCACTTTTGAAAAACATCGGCACGCGCGTGGGCTTAGCACCAGTACTCTGTCTGCCCCGGAGTCTGCTCGCGTGGTGAGCTCCTTGCAGATCTCAGAACTGCAGGAAGCGTTGGATTCAGCTGCCTTTTTGAGCTCGCTCTTCTACATAAAGCTGCATCTGGAAAGGAAGAAGAAAAAGGGATTGGATTCATACCCCGCCCTTCACTACCGGAAGGCGTCTCAGAGCAGCTTACAAACTCCTTTCCCTCCCCACAACAGACACCCTGTGAAGGAGGTGGGGCTGAGAGAATTCTGACAGAGACTTCTCTTTTTCAAGAACAGCTGTGTCAGAGTTATGGCTTGCCCAAGGTCATCCAGCAGCTGCAAGTGGAGGAGTGGGGAATCAAACCCGGTTCTCCCAGATTAGAGTCCGCGCACTTAACCACTACACCAAACTGGCTCTTGTGAAAGCAGTATGCAATGCAGAGGGGAACTTCTGTTCCAAAGTGAAACAACTGAGGGAAAAGCCAATACAGAATCGCCCATGGACTTTTTTTTACAGTTGCCCACCAGAGTGTTCAGCAGAAGAACAAGCCCCCCCCACACACACACACACAGGCGAAAACAGAAGCCTGAAAGGGAGGGAGCGAAGGCCATTCACGAAGCTACTTGGTGCTCCACTGGTCCAAGCCTTTGTGGGTGGCATATCACAGGCTCCTGCTTGCTGTAAAGCCCTGCAAAGCAGCATAGGCCAGAAGTCCCTGAGCATTCCTCCAAGCAAGTTTGTAAACCCGTTTTGTGCAGGGTAACCCGAAGGCTGGTGCAGAAAAGCCCAATCTGCAGCTAGCCTTTGCTCCACTGTTTTACCAAAACCCACACTGGAACAGGAAAAGATGCGGGTCAAAACTGCATTCGAATACCCCAGGCCAACGCCGTACTGACTGCCAAGTCACCCCTGAACGGCCATCCATCTATGCAGACGGCTACCATACAAACCGAGAGATCAAAGGAAGTGAAAGCCGTATGCAGTCAGGACACGGCCATAAAATGCGACAGTCCCTCAAAGTGAAAGTGGCATGCAATCAGTGTTCCCTCTAAGATGAGTTAGTATGAGCTTAGCTCACAGTTTTCTAGCCTTCAGCTCACACCTTTTTGCCTTAGCTGTGGAAGGAGGGCTCCAGAGCAAACTGAATCATGCAGCAGCCCAATCGCTCGCTCACAACTTTGATGCCGGCAGCTCACAAAGTCGAATGGGGACCTACTAAAACAAAGGACAAGTGATTGCCCATAGGGAATACATGAGTGGACAGTGATTGCCCATAGGCAATACATGAATGCCAACAGAGAATCCATGATTGCCCATAGGGAATAATAAAGAGTGGGCTTGCCCATAGGAAATAATGGAAAGTACGCTTGCCTATGGGGTAGGGGCGAAATGCTCCTCCACCTCCCTGAGCCCCGGGGTGGTGGCCTTGGACTCCTAGGGGCAAATTCCACCTCTAGCTCGGACATCACACGCCAGAGGTCATTCTGGCTCCCCAGCTCTCGATAGGAGCTCTTTAAAAAGTCATGGCTGTCACTCTGGCTCCCCCAGCTCTCGATTTGTTGTTGTTCAGTCGTACAGTCGAGTCCGACTCTTCGCGACCCCATGGACCAGATCCTGCCAGGCCCTCCCGTCTTCCGCTGTCCTCTGAAGTTTGCTCAACTTCATGTTCGTTGCATCTATGACACTGTCTAACCATCTCATCCTTTGCCGTCCCCGTCTTCTTTGACCTTCAATCTTTCCCAGCGTCAGGGTCTTCTTCTCCAGGGAATGCTCCCTTCTCATTGGGTGGCCAAAGTATTTGAGCTTCAGCTTCAGTATCTGGCCTTCCAGGGAACAGTCAGGGTTGATTTCTTTTAGGATTGACTGATTTGATCTCCTGGCAGTCCAAGGGACTCTCAAGAGTCTTCTCCAGCACCACAGTTCAAAAGAATCTATTCTTCGGTGCTCGGCCTTCCTTATAGTCCAGTGGTGGCGAACCTATGGCACGGGTGCCAGAGGTGGCACTCAGAGCCCTCTCTGTGGGCACGCGTCCCATCGCCCCAGCCAGGGCCAGACCATCATTAAAGTGTCGAATTCTCTGCCAAATAATTTTAAGTAAATGAAAGCATTTGGGATTGCTTTCCTCACTTTGTTTGGATCATCTTAAGTTAATGTAGGAGTTGTTTTTTCCAAAGTAAAACCTCAGTATTCAGGTTAAATTGCCGTGTTGGCACTTTGCCATAAATAAGTGGGTTTTGGGTTGTACTTTGGGCACTCGGTCTCTAAAAGGTTCACCATCACTGTTATAGTCCAACTCTCGATAGGGGCTCTTTAAAAAGTTAGGGCCACGGGCATTGTCGGCGCAGCTTCAATGGCGAGGTGGGCGAAACATTCTCCTGCCTCCCTGAGCCCTGGGGTGGTGGCCTTGGACTCCTAGGGCCAAATCCCACCTCTCCCGGGCAGGCAGCTGCTGATTTCACTCAGTAGGTGCGCCCCTGGTAGTTTTAGAAGAAAAAATGATTTCTCACTGAGTGAAACTGCAGAACAGCTGCTTAGAGCAGACTGAAAATAGTAAATATGGTAGCTATTTAGTGTACCTGGATGATACTTCTATTTGTGTGATAGTTGTATTTACCAGCATGATACTTGTATTTGCATAATCAGTGTTTGTCCCATTCACACTATACATTTTTCATATATGCTTATGTACACTTACCATGTGTGAATCAGTCCTTAATATGGAACAAGTTAAGAATTAACATTATGTTTAATCTGACAATGGTATCGTACTATGATGTGCATATTAATCTTTGAAGAGCTACAGAAGCGTTCTTGCTAACAATTTTAATTGCCACTTTTCAGCATTAAATAAAACAGAGCAGCATTAAAAAAACAAAAAGTAGGCGCGCCCCCGGGGCTGGCGGGGGGGCGTGACTTCGCAAGCGCGCTGCTCTGCCCGGTTTCCCCCTCCAGCTCGCCCCGCCCAGACCGGGAAGGAAGGAGGCCGCCTTCATTCGCCTGCTTGCCGGTCCGCCCCGGACGAGGAGGAGGAGGAGGCGCTGGCGGCAGCTAGACTGCTGGAGGAAGCGGCTTCTCCGGGCTCGGCTTCCCCACCGGCCGGCCTGCAAGTCAGCTGCGCCCCCGGCCCCCCAGCCCAGGTGAGCCCCGGCGGGACGGGGGGGGGGGCAGAGAAGGGGTGCCCCCGTGGCCAGCGCGGGGCTCTCTGAATCCGGGCCGCGCTGCAAAGGAGACGAGGAGGAAGCGGCTTCTCCGGGCTCGGCTTCCCCACCGGCCGGCCTGCAAGTCAGCTGCGCCCCCGGCCCCCCAGCCCAGGTGAGCCCCGGCGGGACGGGGGGGGGCAGAGAAGGGGTGCCCCCGTGGCCAGCGCGGGGCTCTCTGAATCCGGGCCGCGCTGCAAAGGGGCCGGTTTCAGACGACTCTCTAGACCCGCGTCCCGCTCCA